CCATAGTGGAATACGCATAGGCGCATAGTCTCAAAATCGGCAAAGTCCAAAGTGGAATGCGCATAGGCGCACAGTCTCAAAATCGACAAAGTCCATAGTGGAATATGCATGGGCGCACAATCTCAAAATCGGCAAAGTCCACAGTGGAATGCGCATGGGCACACAATCTCAAGATCGGCAAAGTCCACTGTCTCAAAATCGGCAAACTCCATAAAGACTCAGGATCCAACACCATAATAAGAGACTACCCTCATGATTCGACCAAGTTCCAGAAACTTTACAAAACAATGGTAATTGATTATTTGAATTTGTAAAATCTCTATAAATAGAGAAATAAGAAGAAACATAACAAAACGAAAGCTAAGAAAACAGATGGTTAAAACGAGTGGAATGCGCATAGGCGCACAGTCTCAAAACCGGCAAAGTCAACAGTCGAGTGCGCATGGGCGCACATAGTCGAAATTGGCAATGTCCACAACAGAGTGCGCATGGTTGCACTGACCTAGAATCGGTAATGTCCACTGCAAAGTGCGCATGGGCGCACTGACTCGGAATCGGTAATGTCCACTTCAGAGTGCGCATGAGCGCACTGACTCAAAATCGGTAATGTTCGCTGCAGAATGCGCATGAGCGAACTGACTCAGAATCGGTAATGTCCACAGTGGAATGTGCCTTGGTGGAGTACGCACAAACTCAAAATCATCAATGTCCTCGGCGGAGTGCGCATGGTCGCTCAGGCTCAAAATCATCAATATCCTCAATGAAGTGCGCATGGGCGCACATACTCAAAATCAGCAATATACATTCGGCAAACTCCACAGATGAAATGCATATTGACGGACAGGCTCAAAATCGGCAATATGTCCGTGGATTAAGTGTGTATTGGTGCACTGGCTCATAGTACATTGAAGAGGTGCGCGTGATGCGCTAAGCTGCCAACATTCAAAAGGTCTATGGGTTCTCACAGCGGTGGCAGCGTGCGAGCACGGGGAGCTTATTCATTTACCGAGGAACACAGATGGGCCTGGCAGCTTACTGCTAGTCAAGGCACGTGGACGCCCGTGCCAACCAGTGAATCAAGGGTGTACGAACAAGACCTGCGAGGGGTAAGCGAGCAAGAAGGGGGAAAGGAGGAGGAGGTAAGGGGAGCGAGAGAGTGAAGGTGAAGAGAAGGGAGAGAAAGGGAAGGTGAGGGGCAGAAAAGAGAGCGGCTGCAGGAAGCAGACGGCCAGGTGAGCATCCAAGAGGCCATTCCCCCCCAGCCTAACCCCTCCCCTTTCCTTACCTTTGCCCTTGCTTGCACAGTCCGACTCCCACCCGTTCGTACTTCCAACTTCTGTCCACCAGCAGTTCCCATACTCTGGTTGGTATGCTGGCGCTCCGTAGCTAATGCAGCAATAAAAAGTCGTCCCCCAGCACGTGCACGAGCCTCTCTTATATAGCGGAGCTGGTGCAGTCGGCCAGTCCTACCACTTGGACTGGCACCAGTCCCGAGCAACCGAACAGTCAGTCCCACGCTAAAATTAGCGTGGGACTGTGCTAATTTTAGCACGGGACTGGGGCAGGCCCAGTCCCAAGTAGGCAAACAATCAGTCCCATGATAAAAATAGCATGGGACTGTTCTAATTTTAGCACGGGGCTGGGGCAGGCCCAGTCCCAAGTAGACGGACAGTCAGTCCCACGCTGAAAATAGTGTGGGACTGTACTAATTTTAGCACGGGACTGGGGCAGGCCCATTCCCAA